AGAGGTGGAGGTCTTAGAAAGGCATTTCCAACAGATTCCAATGCAGACCCCACTTAGTGCTTGTGACACCATCCTTGTTTTAGGCAAGGTCCTGCTTAAGTAGCCCTGGCTAGCCTGAAGCTCACTGGTGGTACAGGCTACTCTTGTACTCATGCCAATCCTGCCTTGGCCTCCTAGAATACAGGGTCTAATTAGAGTCATATATGTGCCAACTGTCATCAGCTTCTATCCATTAACCCAGGGCAGGGACTAACTGTACCATGGTCACAGCTCTACACAAAACCAAAGACACAGACTTGGTTTCACCGAAGGCAGGGTCAACACTTTATGTTTTTTCTTATGCTACTTTTGGTTGACAATGGTCCCCAATACTTCCTATGTTGGTGTGGGAAGGAACTGAGGGGTGACGGCACTGTCGGGCTTTTAGCAGGCATGCCAACTTCTCTCATGCCTAGTCTACATAGAGCTCCAGGCTACCTGTGGCTACAGGGAGACCCTGTCTCAAAAAGTAAAAAAAAAGGAAATACCAGGGTCCTCACAGGCCCACTGAAGGATTAAGATAGGCAGCCTGAATTAAAATAACAAGACTTGCTGGCAAAAAAAAAAAAAAAAAAAAAAAAAAAATTACCCTACATTGTACTACTTTGGGAATGTAAGTATAGTTTAGTGGTAGAGTACTTGCTTACATGAACAGGACCTTGGATTCAATCTCCAGCAACAAAAAGTTCAAAGCAAGCAGGGCCAGGTATAGTGGAACACACCTTTAATCCCAGCATCTGAGGTCAGCTTTCTCTAGAGAGTTCCAGGTCACCAGGGGAATATAGTGAAATCCTGTCTCAAAAAGAAAAAAAGCAAGCAGGATGGGCATCATGGTTCATACCCATAACCTCAGCGTAAAAGTATGCCAAAACAGGAAGGCCATGAGTTCAAAGCCAGCCTTTGCTACTCAGCAACTGTCAAGCTAACTAGGTATACACAGTAAGACTGTCTCAAAAAGAGCAAAAGCTGCCGGGCGTGGTGGCGCATGCCTTTAATCCCAGCACTTGGGAGGCAGAGGCAGGTGGATCTTCATGAGTTCGAGGCCAGTCTGGTCTACATGTTGAGTTCCAGGACGGCTGGGGCTACAAAAAGACCGTCTCAAAAAAAAAAAAAAAAAAAAAAAAAAAGAGCAAAAGCTAAAATGTCTTGTGTGGGCCTCATGCTGAGGACACTCTACCACTGAGCTATGTCAGTAATTCCTTATCTGACTCCTCAGTATCTTCTATCAACCACTGATTTAAACTTCAGCATGTGCTACAACAGGCCAGCACTGCATCCCCATTTCATACATGAACAACTGAGGCTTGGGCACTGGCTTAAAATTAGTCATCAGGAATGGCCCTGCTGTGGTGACCTCAGCAATCTATGACTACAGACAAAGGATTTTAGTATCTTAGAGCTTCCCTCAACTAATTTTGCAAATGAGTAGTAATCAGTTTGTTAATCTAAAACAACTTGATCCCACTTGATCGTCTAGGCACTATGCTGGCTAACAGCAGTGTACCCAAACCCACTTCTCAACTGGGCAGGAGTCTCAGAAAAGCCCATTAGGCAGCACAGCAACCTGTGTGAATGTCTCCAGCCAAAGCCAGACCCATGAGAATATCTGCACTGGGCTCCTCTACTTCTGCAAAGAAAAAACGTTTTTTGAGATTATAGCAAGTATAAATGCCTCCCCAAAACAGCTCACTGTCACAATATGGAAAAGGACTAGCTCTCCCACAGCCTCAGTCTCACACTCTATATAATACACAAACACACACTTTGCAAAGTATATTAATACCATACTTCAGTCATGGCCCATCTTGAAACTAGAAATATTGAAGGAGTGAAGGGAAAGGAAGGAGATCACCCAATAAAACACCCAGAGCTAGGCCTGGTGACACATGCCAGCACTTGCAAGGAAAAAACTGCATGGGAAGCCCCTGTTTCAGAAAGGAAAAAAATCCACTGGGGCTGAGCAATACCCCTAGATCACAGTATAGTACCCAGGAATTTTTTTTTGGACACACGGGTCTCCCGGAACTTGCTATGTAGACCAGGCTGGCCTTGAACTCAGAGGTCGGCCTGCCTCTACCTGGGACTAAAGGCATGCACCACCCAAGAATTTTCACATTTTGCAAGGGCTGTCTTGGAAATGGTTTCCAGATCTAGATGTGGAGCTGGCATGAGAGCTGGTCTGGGACAAAAGAATCCCAAGGGGTGTTTTGCTGAGTTACTTGTCCAAATGTCCATTGAAATCAGGTCCCTGGGGCTGCAATGAGGGGTGACAGGCGTCTCCAGGTCACAGGCACCACATGGCTAGAGAAAAGGAAGCCAGGGAAGCCAAGGAAGCAGGCTTCCAAACCCAGCCCCAACCCCCATCTCTCTCCCTCCTCCCAAGCCCCCTGCAGTTCCCAGATCCTCTCCTCCTCTCCCCTCCCCCAACCTCTACAGGGGTAGGGGTTTTTGCCTATGGTTTTAAGGAAGATGTGGCAGGCCCCAGCTCCAGCACCAGCCCTTTGTCTCAGCTCTTTCCACCCCAACAGGAAAGGTAAAAGATCTTGCTTAGCTCTGCAATTACACCTTCACCGTTGGCCCTAAGCTTGGAGGGGGGAGGAGCAGAAAAGTGGTCCCATATAAAACCACAACCCCCTTTCAAAAGGAAACAAAGGGGCTGATGAGATGGCTCAGAGAGGAAAGACACCTGCCCCCAAGACCTGAGTTCGATCTCTGGACATGGTAAAGAGAACTGACTGCCACAAGTTGTCCTTAGACCTCCATAGTATGGGGGCATGCGCTCGGCATGCACAAACACACATGCACACACACACAAAAATAAATGAAAGGAAACAAAGGTGAAACTTCCTGCCAACTCCCAAGGAACAGACAACGATTTAGAAATGCTTTTATAGTTGAGATAGCAAGAGTACACTGTAAAGGCAGGAAATGCAGGGCCTAGCAAAGGTGCCTTCTCTCTAACAGGCCCTTACCATTGAGTCCTTCCTTATCCTAGCTCAAGACTATGATGCCGACCATAAAGAGAGGGCTTTAGAGCTCATAAAGGTGTCGCATCCTAAATCTCCAATAAGAATTGTCCCTTTCAGGTTTAACTTAAGCACAGAGATGACAAGGTAATTACCTTGAAAAGTATATAAGTACATGCCCAAGGCCTGCTGCCCTCCATGAGGACAGCCTGCTTCAAGTCCATGTGCTAATGATAACTATGGAAGACTCAGTGAGTGCTGCTTGCTCTATGGTAAGGCTACAAAAGTTCATCTCAAAGCAAGAGTGTAGCACAGGGAGCTGGAGGGATGATTCAACAGTTAGAAGCACACTAGCTGCTCTTGCAGAGAACCCAGGTTTGGTTACCAGCACCCACATGGTGGCTAACAACTTTCTGTAACTGACAACCTCTTCTGACCTCCAAGGGTATTGCACAACAGGGGTGCAATTACACACATGCAGGCAATGTACACATAGAACAGAAATAAACTTTTAAAAAGTGTAGCCCAGCCAGACATGGTATGGCTCGCCTTTAGTCCCACCACTCAGGGGGTAGAAGCAGGGAGATCTGAGTTCGAGTTCAAGACCAGTCTGGTCTACATAGTGAGTTTCTGGTCTACATAGTGAGTTGCAGGCCAGCTGGAACTACAGGGAGACCCTGTCTCAAAAAGAAAAAGAAAGTGTAGTCCAGTGGTACAGGGTTTGCCTGACTTAAGGCCCTGAGTTTGAACCCTAAGCACTTGGGGGGGTCGTTATAACAAAGTCTGGAAAAATTAAATCTGTAGCTTAAGTTTCCAAAGGTCAGCATAGCACACAAGCCACAGCAGGCCTGGTGGAGGAAGGAGGGCAGGGCAGAGAAAGGTCGGGGTTCTAGGCCTCCTATAAGTGCCCCATCAGGAGCCATATTCCAAAAAAACAACTGCCAGTCTACCAAAACCCACAACATCCAAAACTCAGTAAGCAGTACACTCGGCCCTAATTCCCTTTAATTCATATGCATCAGTAGAGCGAGAATCGGAGACCTCACTCTGCAAATCTCAGGAGCAGGGGGAGGCCGCTTGGCGGTACATGTATGTGGAGCGCCCAGGACTGTAGGTTAAGACTCAAGCAGGAAACGCTGCGCCCATGGGCAGCCCATCCTGAAGAACTAGGCAGGTCTCGGCTTCCTGACTCCACTCTCCCTGGAACGAAGAGCTCCACAGACACCCGCAAGCAATCACTTCAGGTACCGACGCGTGCCAGCTAGGAGGTGAAGGCAAAGTTTTTAATTAAGGCCTCGGTGCGTGGGTTTGGGAAAGTGGGATCAGCCTCATCCCGGAAGAAGGCTACTAAGGATGGAAAGTGTGCCCCTAAGGCAGCGGAGTGGCGAGGCACCGCCCCCGGCTCCTCCCCGGCCAGGTGATCTCAGCCGCCGCCAGCCCCTCCCCGCAGCCGGCTGCGCCTAGTCTCAGGTGGCTCTGCTCCGGAAGACCCAGGGGACAACGCCCATCTCGGCTCGCTCACATCCCCGTTTTCCAGTACCGAGAGCACCATGCTAGCCGGTTACCCCTCATCCGATGTTGCTAGCCAGCAGGGACCGCCATCTACGCCCACCCTCACGGCACAACTCCCTGGTCCTACCTCCCTTCCATCCCTCACCCAGGAGGCTCCCTGTGGGATCCAGGCCAGGTAAGGACTCCTCCTGCCCAGGACCTCAGCCCCTCCCGGCCCCACTCCACTCCGCGGTCCCCTCCTCCCTACATCCCAAAGCGGCTGCACATCCTGTCCCTCAAGTCTCCCGAGTGGCCGGGTGCAGCGGACGTGCCCTTCCACGGTCCCCGTCCCGCTAAGTGCCACGCGCCCGGCTCTTTCCCGGGTCCCCGCAGGTCTCCCGACGCGGCCAGGGTCGTCTCTGGTCCGCCCGTCGTCCGATCCCCGGCCGCGCGGATGCGGTCCCCAGGGGCTCCGGGCGCGGTCCCCCGGCGCGGGGCGCTCACCTGCCGGGAGGCTGGCTCGTGCGCGGCGCCGCAGTCGCGCCTCGGATCGGGACCGGCGGGAGGGAGGCCGGCGGTAGGCTGTGCCGGGCGCTGGGCTCGCGAATCTCCGGCGCCGATCGCCCAGCTACTTTTACTTGGGCCGCTTAACCCCCGCGCTGCCGGCCGGGAGCGGCCGCGCGCTCGTCCGCGCGCCAGTGGGACGAAAGGGTCTGTCGGGGGCGCTCGGCTGCGAGCGTCCACGCGGGCAGCTGCTCCGGGGCAGGGGGCGGTGAGGAAGCGGCGGGGCCGACGCACCGAAGTGGGTGGGGAGGGGGCGGCGCCGCTGCCCTTGTAGCCCGGGCCTGGCCCTCGCCCCGCCCCCGCCCCGGGCGCCCCCGCCTCAGCCACTCACCGCCTGGCCCGGCCAGGGGGGCGGGAGAGGGAAATTTGAAATCACTCCGAGCCTGCCTCTCCTCTCCTTCCCTGCTCCGCCCCTGGTCCTCCTGGACCTGATCAGACAGACACCCACCAGGATGGCCAACCCTAAGTGAGGACATCTCAGCCCTCCACCTGAGACCCCTAGGTGATGCGCTGCCCGGAGCAGACACACACACACACACACAACACACACACACACCACACACACACACACACACACACACACACACCACACACCACATACACACACACACACACCCTCTGGATGGCCAACCCAGCCTTTCCCCACCACCTCCTCCAGGGCCATGCTGTTCCTGCAGGTCACCTGTTGGGGACCCCTCTCCTCCTACTTCTTCCTTTGCCTTCACCCAGCTCGGCCCTTGTCAGCCATCTTGAGGGGAAGGGAGGTCAGGGAAGGAGGAAGAACCGTTCAGGTTCTCCGACTACCTGGGTTCTCCAACCAGCTGGGGAGAAGCCCCACTCCGCAGGTCTGGGTTGCCTCCACCACACTTTGTAATATTTATGGCACCTGGCATTTGTATTTGTTTCTGTAGTTGCTCGTTTTCCTGCCTATTGTCTGTCTCCGTACAGTAGATGGGAAGATCAAAACCGATGCTAAATAAATATGTTAAATGAACTGAATAAATGAATGATTGACACAACTACAAGGCGACGCCTCCGCAGACCCTGCTCAACTTTTCAGGCATCTCCTACTCTGTCAGGTCCTGACTTCCAACCATCTGTACGTGTTGCTATTCCTCAGATACTGAAGCTTATCCCTTACGATGGAAACTTGACCTCTTCTCCACATGGACTTTCTTTACACAAATCTGTACTGGTCACCAGGAGCTCTAACTACTCCACTGAACGGTCTTCCACCCTTGTTCTATTCCATTCTCTTCCTATTGACACTTAGACCTGAGATTGTTTTGTATATTTCTTCTCTCTCTACACACAGAGAAAGAGAGAGACAGACAAAGGTTCAGTCCAAGAGGAGCAAAAAAAGCTACAGCTCTCCTTCTGCATCCAAGCTGTCTCCACAGTCCACAGGGGGCCTAGTACCAAAAGGAACTCAACACAAGTTTGTTGAATGAATGAATCCCCACAGGTTTCCTGCCTCTGGGAGTCCAACACAGCTTTCCTCCTGCATCTCTTGCTGGTTAGTGAGTAAATGAGCAAATGGCTACTACTTTGAGAAATTCAAGTTTCAGCATTTACTGAACCTTGTTACACTTAACGTGAACAGAGAGGCTAAGGAGATGCAAGGAGAAAAAGCCCACAAAGCAACACCCAGCCTGGGCCTGGCCCCATGTGGAGGAACTGTGGGAACTTCTTAGCTCTGAGGGCAAACAATTCTAAAGTGTGTTCCAGGAAGTTGGTGCAGGAAGAAGGGAGTCTCTTAAGAGTTCAAATGAGAAGGTGGTCTTGGTCCTGTCCTTTGGAAAGGAGCGTAAACATCAGGAGAATGGCTGGACGTGGTTGCTCCTGCCTGTAATCGCAGCGCTTGAGACTTAAGGAATTCAAGGCCATCCTCAGCTAGATCTCAAGATCCAGGCCAGTCTGGGCTGCATAAGACCCTATCTGAACCCTGCCCCCAAAACAATTTTCAGAAAAATAGGGGTAAAAATAACTACTTCCAGAGGGCACAAAACTTTACAGTTTGCAAAATGAATTGCCCATGTTGGCCACCTTATTTGAGCCACAAGGAGTAGACAGGGCAAGGAGAATCAGCGAGAGTTTCCAGGGCCCGCAAGAGGGAGGGGTTCATATAAAATGACCTTGAATGAGCACCTGTAATGGTGGTGCCCCAGCAGAGATTACCGTAAGATATCACTGATCATAATCATTAGCAGTCATTGTGTCCATGTGCATCGAGGAGATCAAAATTCTGTGATTATGCTGAGTTTGTAGTTGTATGGGAGAGGACTTGCCTACCATGTCCAAGGCCCAGGGATTTCATCCCCAGTACCACACACACACACACACACACACACACACACACACACACATCTGTAATTAAAGACCATTTGTTTTTATAATCAAAAAACACTAGATATGATGACAAGTACCTGCAATTCTAGCTCTTGAGGGATGGAGGAAGGAAGATTGCCAAGAGTTTGAGACCAGCCTGGGCTATACAGTGAATTCAAGGCAAGGCTAGATTACATAGTGAGATGCTATGTCAATCCCCTATACTCTCTTTCCCCCATCCCCAAAAAAGAAAGATGAAAGAAAGAAAACAAAAGAATGTCCTTGCTCTTAACAAACAGGAAATATCTAGGGAAAGAACATAATGAGACCAATTTGCCCTTAAATAGTTCAGAATAATAATGTGCATGTATATGCAAGAGGAAGATTTAAAGCAAATGCAGCAAAATATAAACAAATGGGTAATCTGGGTTAAAATCTTCATATATGGAGCTGGAGAGATGGCTCAGTAGTTAAGAGCACTGACTGACCCAGGTTTGATTCCCAGTACCCACATGTCAGCTACAAACCATCCTTAACTCCAGTTCCAGGGGAATCCAAAGCCCTCTTCTGACCTCCATGGCAATGCACGACATGGGTGCTCTCACATACATGCAGGCAATATACTCATGCACATAAAAAATAAAAATAATAAAATATTTTTTTTAAATCTTCATATATTCCTTGCCTTATGACTTTTTTCATTTTTTGTTACATTTATTTACTTATGTGTGTCTGTGTGTGCCATGTGGAAATCAGAGGATAACTTTCAGGAGTTGGTGCTCTCCTACAATGTGGGTCCTTGGGATCTAACTCAGGTCATCAGGCTTGGCAATAAGTGCCTTTACCTGCTGAGCCACCTTACAGGCCCTCTTATAACTTATACACATTAGAGATTATATCAATAAAGTTATACCACAAGCCAGGTGTGGTAGCTCACACCTTTAATTCCAACATGTGGGAGGTAGAGGAAGGGATATCTCTATAGGATGGAGGCCTGCTTGTTCTATATAGCAAGTTCCAGGCTAACTGTTGTTAGCCGATATGTGGGTGCTGGGAATGGAACTTAGGTCCTCTACAAAAGCAGCCAGTGCTCTTAAGGGCTGAGCCATCTCTCCAGCCCTCTATGGGAGGTATTTTAATGAGTACATGAAAGTAAGTTCTGTGTACCTCAATTATCTTTAAAATAGAGGTAATAATTTTAATTACTTCCAAGTTTGTTGTGAAAATTATATGATTTAATATAAGGCTTCTTACACACTGGCTCATTGGAAACTCATAAAGTGTTAAATAAAACACTTTATTAATAACAGAATAAAACCAGACATAATGGCCTAGGCCTGTAATCCCAGCACAGACAGAGGAAGGAGGATCATAAATTCAAGGTCATTCTTAGCTAAATAGAGGGTTGGAGGCTACCTTAGGATACTCCAGCTCCCACCTCAAAAAAGGGGCAGGGCATGCCTTTAATCCCAGCACTTGGGAGGCTAAGGCAAGCAGATCTCTATGAGATAGAGACCAATCTGGTCTACATAGAGAGTTCCAGGCCAACTGGGACTACAGGGATACCCTGTCTTTAAAAAAAAAAAAAAAAAAAAAAAAAAAAAAAGGTGGGTGAGGGGGGTGGAAGAGAAGGGCTCAGAGTATAAATATACAAATATACCTGCCACAGAACTTGAGGACCTGTGTTTAATTGTGGGACCCACAGAGAGGGAAAGAACAGATTTCAAAAAGTTGTGCTCTGACCTACATATGCTCTGTGGCAGGAGAACATGAAAGCATGAAGGCACATGGACACACACATACACACACCATAATAAGAAATAAGTGTAGGGGGCTGGAGAGATGGTTCAGTGGTTAACAGCACTGACTGCTATTGCAGAGGACCTGTGTTCGAATTCCAGCACCCACATGGCAACTAACAACTGTCCATTAACTCCAGTTCCAGGGAATCCTATACCCTCTTCTGACCTCCATGGCATTGTACAACTTGGTGCATTTATCTACATACAGGCAATCCACTCATACACATAAAGTAAAAATAAAATTTTTTTTTTTTTAAAAAGAAATGTGTAACAAGATTTTTCATGAGGGACTGGAGAGATGGCTCAGCAGTTAAGAGCACTGATTGTTCTTGCAGAGGACTTGGGTTCAATTCCCAGCACCCACATAGGGGCTACGAACCATCCTAAACTCCTGTTCCAGGGGAATCCGACACCCTCTTCTGACCTCCACAGCATCGTTACCAGGACAGCTGGGGCTACAGGGAGACCCTGTCTCAAAAAGACCAAAAATAAATAATTAATTAAATATTTTTTTAAAAAGAATTTTCATGAAATAAATGTTTTGTTTTCCTGGCTGCCTCAGTTACTCTTAACACATGTGGAGTTGGACATTGCCCTGGCCCTCTCAGGATGGGGTTACCCTTTCTGTACCCTGGGTACCCAACTGCTATGGCAAGCTCAGTTCAGTTTGGTCTACAGTATCAAATCTGAGGAACTCCATTTTACAGTTGAGGGAACTGAGGCTTACCAAGAGGAGGTTTGCCAGAGAGTCATAGCTGAGTTGATGGCAGAGCTGGGACAATATAGCCAGCTCAACCCCCCACTCCAGATGACACCACCCTCCCTCCCTGTAGTCCGGGCCAAGGAGTTTTGCACTGGTCCTTTCCCTATTCCAATTGGAATAATAATAAGAGCAAGGCAGATTTCCCAGAGTGACAACAGGGATTTCTCTCAGCCCTTGTAAGTAAAAGAACCCATTGTAAAGTACTCATGAATGACTGAGGTCTC